ATATATATATAAATTTGTATTTATTGTATTTGTGAATATGTAAGGACATTTAGATAAATATGCCAAATCTTGTAGTGAAGATCTATAATTGATCAGCTTTGTATAAAGTTTTAGTGGAAATAGCCTTGGTCCTTGGCTGCTATCCTCAGTAAAAGCTAATAATTACCAAACGGAAACAATGGATGTGTGTGTTAAACAATGAGTCTGTTTTACTAATAGTCATTTTATAATTTCCTCAACGTATTCGCCAAACCTCGACGAACTAAATTTTTAATTTAAGTAATTTTGAAGAGGAAAGAAAATTAAAGTGCAAGCGAGCCTGGTTGTTCTCTTGCTTACGTCTTCCTTTGAGCTGATTGACAGAATACTAACCAATCAGACAAAAGACTGAGCTCCAAGGGGCGGGGCTTGTTGAACGTCCGTTACCCTGTTTAGGATGTCTCCCTAACAACCGATGTGATACTTTAAAATCTGAAGTTTTCGCCGGACAAACGTTTCGTAAGTTAACCCCTTCCTTTTCCCTCTACCTAAAAACAAGAGCTAGCTCCTTAGACTGCAATCCATGTTTTACATTTGATGAGTTTTAGGCAGAAAAGATCTTCATCATCTCTTTGCTCTAAATATAGGCTAAGCTAGTAATTAGCTAGCTAGTGAAACCTGATTAAGTTAAAGCTATTGACATGTTCAAGTCTGCTCGGCTTTATAAAGCATTAGTTGGTATTTGCATAACTAAATCTGAAGCGTACTGTTTGTTGTCATTAGCAGGTTGTAGCTCAGTGTTGTTAGCTAACATGTTTGCAGTCGGCTCATGTTTTAGCTTTGCTACCTTCTGATTTGCATCAGTTTATGTGCTCCTTAGAAAATGCTCATTAGAAACATAGTAAAACATAAAAAAACCGTGATGTAGTGATACACAGAACAGCTGTTATTGCAGGAGGATGGCTGGAACTGGTGAGGGAAAGAAAGAAGAGGCCGACTACAAGAGACTACACAGCTTCCCTCTCATCAGAGTAAGAAACACAACTTTTGCTCATTTTATATAAATATAAAAACAACAATTGATTGTGTTTTTATTTTTTTTTTATTTTTACTGATGTTGAAAAGGTACTGCTGTCCTAAACGAGTAAGGTCCAAATTACCCCACTTCTTTGTTTTGAAATTGACTAAATTTAGATGTCTGCAACATATGCTTTTATACACATTATACAATCACTGGGAAGGAAAAATAAACAAAATTATGCATTTTGTACTTAAGTAACGCATTTTTAGTTTAATTATGAACAAAAGTACCATCAATCAAACTTATATTGAATTATTTAACTGTTTACTGTTAATGTTTGTATTGGACCATAATTGTATTAGTTGTCAGTCAGAACTCCTGTTGATGTTTTCCTCCATCGAGGCACTGAGGCATGGATCAGCCTGTGATTTTACTGAAGTTATAAGTAAGACTAGGATTAAGGGTTAAATGGCAGCCTTGGCTATTTAAACTGGTATTGAAAGGTTTGGTAGTATGGACAGGTGGCATGTCCTGCTCGGCAATCAAATTAGCATCTCTATAAAGCTTCTTTGGCAGAGGCAAGCGTCACAACTGACTCGTAAAGCAAATTGGGCCATTACATCTGATGACACGGCTCCTCAAATCATCACTAAATCTGGAACCAGAACTTGACAAAAAAACAATTTACTTCTTAACTGAAAAAGGACTCCATTTTTTTCCACTCAGTGTCCTGCTAGCTTTTCCTGTGGTTCACGAGGGCTGGGGTTATTTAAGCACTGCAGTCATCTTGTGGAGGGCATAAATGACTATCTGATTTAAAGCTTTTTGGTCAACAGTCTTCTAGATCAGGGGTCTTCAACGTTTTCCAGGCCAAACACCCCCAAACTAATGGCGAGATGGAGCGAAGACCCCCTAATTATATATATTGTATCAAATTGTGTTATATCAAACTGGTCCTATAGTCCCTCTATTACATATGGAGTCATGTAACAAAAGAAATTTTGCCCTGGGATTATTAAAGTATTTCTGATTCTGATTCCTCATTGATGGGACAGGTGTTGTGAATGAAATGGCAACATATTCATGTTGTTTTTTTATTTGATTTTGAGATGGAAAGAAAAAAATGATAAAAATTAAATGCTCAAATTAAACGATTAAGTAAAATGGTCTTTATTTTATCATTTGTTATTGTACGTTCCACTTTTGGAAAATCAATGGGGGTGTTACTCATTGTCAGACAAAATGCCCCAAAGAGGTACACAAGTCATAAAAGGTTAGGAAACATGTCTCTAGAGGGTGCCGTTGTTCATTTTAAGTGAAGGAAGAGAACTAATGCTGGAGGAGAGGCATGCTAGGACAAAATCACTAATTGATCCAGAGTCCTATTTTTGATTATTAACACTGCTTAATGACGAGGAGGACACAAAATCAACTTTTTGTAGTTCTGTTAGTAAATATAAACACTTAATAAACTACCTAAGTTGTCTCCTATATAATGCCGCTTTAGCCGTGCTGCATGGAGGAGCAACAGTAACTTCTCTGCTGGCTTGGAAGGAGAAGAGGGGATTATTTAAAAGAAGAAAAAAAGTGGGGTGCATTAAAGAAGATCTTTGTACCGTTAATGAAAAAAAACGGGCTTGTAAAGCATGGAAGATGAGGAAGGCTACATAGGGTGAAGTTTTAACATTCCTGTATGGGCAACCAGAATCCCCTATTTAAAGGAGCTACTAACAGCGCAGAGTGTCTTCCTATACTGAATGCTGTATCACACTGAAAACAGAAAGCTTTATCACAGTTAGCAGATATAGAGACAGACCCTGTATTTTAGTGATAGTTTTATATCTCTGTACATCGAGCCTGTTAGGTTCCTGTTTTTGTGTATATTCTCGTTCATCTGTGGTCATGGCAACCACGTGACATGCTTAGATCAAAGGCACCTGGACTTTCATTCATTTCTTCTAAAGACCTTTTGAAACCTATTGGGGAATCTTTGTGATTCTGCCCACTCGCACTAAAGTACTCCTGACATAAACATTGTAATTCCATATGTTTCAGGAGTTTCTGAAAACTTCTGAAGGAATTCCTCCAAACATAACATACCAGGGAATTTCAAAGCCAATTACGTACTGGTATAAAACTTGGTTGGGATTTCAGCTTTCGGGCATTTACAGTTCAGTCCTGGAAGTGCTAAGCCCACTCATCATGATTTAGATGGCCTTACACTTATCCCATACACAACAAAAGACTCCAACAAACCCAGATGGATGACTGGTTGATCACTAACAATAAATAGAGTGCTGGACCTCCATGCTGCATAAATATATCAGCGCTCCAACCACAGAGCGCTCTGGTTCAAGCCGCAGAATTGATAAACCACTGGATAGTGTGATAGATGTGAAAATGTCTTTAGAAAACCAAGAGCAAATCCGTTTGCTTCTGATTAAAGCCTGTTTTGTGGCTTATAGATACATTGAATCATTTATAGGAAAAAAAATGTTGTTTGTTCAGCCATTATTTAATACAGCTCTATATTTTTCTTATTCATTATTTCAGCCATTCATGTAAAAAACAAAAAAACAACAACATAAAATCCACACAGGTGACGACTGAGATCAAAACAACTTTTTGAAATACAATAATTTCCTTTTTAAATTTCAGCATATTGTGGGGAAAAAAATTGCCTCTCATTTTATGGAAAGAGTAAACTCAAGTTCTTTAGCCGCTTATCAATGGACTATTTTTCGATCAATCAATTTTAGATAAACCCATTAATGGATAATTTGGATCCCTACTTATAATGGTCAAAATGGACAGAAATAAGCACTACAAACATATCACTGCCTTTTTTCTATTGATCAGTAACACAACTTTATCTTTTTTTAATTGAATACCTAAAATAAATTGTCCTCTTGATGATGTAACTTATTGAGATGCACTTATGAATCCCTTCCTCTGTGATCTTCTATCGTTTGATGTAATATTTATGTAACTCTTGCCTTTATCTGACTCCTGTGTGTGTAAAACAGTCAGTAACACGTTTCTCTCCAGCACACAGACATGCCAGAGGAAATGAGGGTTGAGACCATGGAGTTGTGCGTAACAGCCTGCGAGAAGTTTGCAACAAATAATGAAGTGAGTCCCCTCTGCTGCTGTTCTCTAATATTCCTGTAATCGGATCAATATTGTTAGTAATAGAAAACCTTTTTTGTTATTATAATTATTTTTGTTCTGTTTTTTTTTTTTTTTCTAGAGTGCAGCAAAGATGATTAAGGAGTCCATGGATAAAAAGTTTGGCAGCTCGTGGCATGTTGTGATCGGCGAGGGCTTCGGCTTTGAGGTCACACATGAAGTGAAGAACCTGCTCTACATGTTCTTCGGTGGGAGCCTGGCCGTCTGCGTGTGGAAGTGCTCTTAGCACCTCTTTCTCTTGCCTTCTGCTCATTATGCTGGAACTAAACACCAGCTGGACACCAGTTTTGTCTGCGTTGTGGGGGATTAGTTTACTCAAGCTACCTGTCACTGTGGCAGAGAAGAAGTACAAGGCTTTGAATAGAATACATTTGGAAATGGGATTGTGACTGTCACTTTGTCTGGTAGGGATAGAAATAGCCTCTTTGCTTTCCTGAGTCATGGGGTGGTTAACCTCCAATTAAGCCATGCTCTGTTCTTGATCACCTGGAATGCCTGTGTGTTTGCATGTGCAACTAAATTCACTTCTCCAGAACAATACAGCTTTCCAGGGTCTCCAAAATCCTTTATCCTTTCTCTTCAGGGAGTGCATGTGTATGAATGGGCGATTTTCATGTTGGTGTGTGCTGGACACACATTTTTCCCCCTACAAACATAATATTGTCACTCTCCTCAGTTTAGTGAAGACTTTATTTATACCTTCATCCCCGTCCATGCTGTCTGAAACGTTTCACGCGTGTCTTTCTCTCAACAACGGCACTACTTTGAATAACTTTTGTAAGATTTTTTTATGTGTACATATTTTAATGCAACTTGAAAGGAATTTTTTTAAAGACCAGTGTCGTCTTCTAACGACCAAGGGCTCAGAGTGTCCTGAGTCGAACAAACGCTAAACTTAACTCAACCTTTCTCCTTGATGGCGATGTGTGGAAAAGCTTGGAAAAAACAAAATATAAAACTAAAGCATTGTTGCGTGATTGTCTCATGTTGATGCCAGTTAGAATGATCCAATGCAACGGACCACTACATGTGAACGTACCTGATTTTCAAATAAACTGAAATGTGGAGAAATTACAGTTCAGCCTGTTTTTTTCTTCTTGCAATATTTTTTGTTATTTCAAGCACTTTTTTTTTTTTACATTTTAGAGAAAAACTGTAAATATATATATATATAATGTGTATACACAACATAATATGTTGCTTGTGATATGTTAATTAGAATACCGGGTTTCAAAAGGAGGTATGAGCTCCATACAGATGGCTATGCCAGTATTTGATTTGAAACAGGTTTAATAACAGGAATAATCAGAGAGCAGACTCAATGGCCTTTAGAAAAAATAGTTATAAAGGCTGAACAGTATGAACAGGAAAAATAAGGTCAGGTATGAAGTAAATGTCAGTGAATAAGGAGATCTTTCTTGTTAAATTGGCCTGTGTTAAAAGGTTAAAAAGTTCTTTAATGTCCTTGTTAAATTCTTCACTGATTGAAGGAAAAGCAACCTGTGGTTTTAGTGGGAGACGTATATGTTCTCTCAGTTCCCTATTGTTAGAGGTTTATGTGCGTTTTTGCTGAAAGCAGAAAAGAGAAATGAACACATTTCCAGCACCAATTTGAAAATAGCAGTTTTTAAAACTCCTCTCATGGTCACTGCATTTGAGATGTCAAACTATTTTTCTCTAGTCAATTCAAGTTTACAAAAATGATAGTCGAAATGAAGCTGCCGGACCAATTACAGAGTTCCCTGCAGGCAAAAAGCTCCACCTTCGTTATTGCTCCGATCATTGGGAGTTCACCATGATCGGATCTATAAACAAAAATGCTATTTGATAAGATTCTTTGAAAATCAGAGGGCTTTTTGACCCAGCAGTAGAAGAACACAGGCCGCCGTTGTTGACACTGTGGCAGTTTGTTTGTGTGCGTAAATCACAGACCACATGTCCGGTCAGGCTGCACTCTGCTCTCACTCCCTTTACCTTGTTTTACTGTCATTACCATAAAATGACTCTATGAATATGTTGAAAAGTTTTGATCATTTAATAATTGTTGGGTAAGATCTTATCACCATCTTCTAAGGATGGTCATAAACCTGACACGGGTTTCTACACATCTCTGCTCTATATTTGAAGCCATTGTCTCCCCAGTGTGTCTATGAGTTTATATAAAGAAAGAATAATCTTTTTTGCCTATTTCCTTCTGTTAACATGAATATTGAAGTTTAACAATCTATACTCAACTAGGTCCGGCCTTTGGAAAGGCTATTCTAACACATGAATATAGAATCTAAATCATATTAATGTAACCCTGGCTGTAGGTTTATTAGTCTACTAGGAGGTGAACCTCTACTCCACACCTCACTCTTATGCTGCCTCACAATTTTTTCTCCAGGATTTTCTCTTTTCTACTGTAGATCCATCAGCTCAGTTCCAACTTCCCTGCCTGTGCAGGAAGAAAGCACCCCTCCAGCATTATGCTGCCGCCTCCATGTTTCAATACGGGATGTTTTAATCACAGTGAAGTTTTTTTTTTTTTTTTTGCCACACATAGCTTTTTGCATTATGGCCAAGAAGGTCTTATCTGGCCAGAGCATTCTGTCACATGTGTCCTACAGTAGGTTTCCTACATGGCTCGTGGCAAACTGCAGGCCTGACCTCTTAACCTCTTATGGCATCATTTTAAAAGTAGTTAGAAAGGATTAAATCACACAAGTGATGAGGTAAGTTATGAAGGAAGTTGGATAATCCAGATTTTATATAGTCGTATGATTGGCATCTGAACACAAATATACATGCTGATAAAAGTAGTTTCTCATTAGTTCAGATGGAAATTGTAAACCTTTTGCTCTTTTTGATCTACAAAACAGCCTCTGGCTCTCGAAGACCTCGCAACCATAGTTAGCACCCACACAAGGCACGAAGCACCGGGATAGGTCAACAGACTTTATTCTTTGTTTTTTACTTGTTACACGTAGTAGCTTGTTTATTCATTTACACTTTTAATTTGTTCATGCTGAATAAAATAATTTAGACCACCTTGTTAGTTGGGCAAAAAAGAGATTTAGTGTTTTAAAATGCTTTTTCTAAAATGTCAAAAGGCTTCTTAAATCAAATTAAATTGAATGTGTTGATTAGAAATGACATTGAAAAATAGATCTAACCCACACTAGTCATGAGTTTATGACTAAAAAAGAGACATTGAAGGCAAGCAGCTAGAATAAGCTTTCTCCTTATGGTGTCCAGAGTCTGGCTCAGAGGAAGGCGAGGCCCTCTGTTGTGTGGTGGAGGATGGATGGTTGTCTGGATGGATGATCGAACTTTGAAGCTTCTTGCTGCGAGGCAACCGTGCTTCAAATTACACCATATTTGACAGCCCTAATTACTGTTAAAGGTCAGAGAAAGAATTTGCTGACAGCATACTTATGTTTAAAACTTAGGGTGAGAATCCATAACAGAATGAAAGATCTAGAGCAGAGGCCTTCAACAGGGGCCTTCGTTCCTAGGGGTCCTCGGAGGTACTGCAAAGTTTTGGTTGATTAGACTTTTTTTTTTCTATATTTTCCACTGCAATTTTTTCCACTAATTGAAATATCTTTAAATACACATTTACATGAATTCAACACACTATAGTAAACGGATAAATGGAGATGTCTTTCAGTCATCAATGCACACATTCAGCAACACACAGGAGCTCTTTTAAACTGGGCATCGTTTCATTCACAACACCAGTCCCATCAAGGAATAGAATCAGAAATACTTTAATAATCCCAGGCCGAAATTACTTTCAAAACATGACTCCATCTGTAATATAGTGACTGTAGGACCAGTTTGACATAACACAATTTTATACAATATGTATAATTAGGGGGTCCCTGCTCCACCTCGCCATCAGTTTGGGGGTCATTGGCCTGGAAAATGTTGAAGACCCCTGATCTAGAGCAAAAACAACAAAACTAGTTAGTTAACCGGATTTTGGATGTTGACAAGCAGCCCTCGTCTGAGAATGGATGACCTACATCTGCATGCAAATATCCAAGTGTAATGACTGAAAGGGTTTTGACAGAGATACAGTGGGATTGATGTTAGCATAATAGACTGATAGCTTTCACCTGGATTTATTTGGTTGACCTATTTTATGGCAAGAGGCCTAAATTCAGCAATCTCTGTAGCAGTCTAATACTAATCTGGTGGGCAGTGGTGTGTCAGGAAGCCAGCTTCTATCACAGGAGCGACCTAATGCATTATTAACCTCAAACACTTTTTACATAAACCCATCCCTCTCCTTGTTTCAGCTCAACATGGTTAAATATTTAAGCAGAGAGCCAGCAAGTTGCACAAAACACTCAGTTTGTTTGGTCTGAAAGCGTTTCCCCAGTGTGAGGGGGGAGAAAGACAAATCTTTCTGAAAGAGGCTCTTTGGGGCCTTCATTGAAGTAACAGACACATTTCAACCAGGAGGAAATGCTGCAAGATGTGGATTCTGCTCTGGGTGTGCAGGATGCTATTTCTCCACTAATCCACACATCCTCTTTGCTGTTTATTTTTATTTCATTTAATGTACCATAAAGGCAAATAAATGGGTGAATTTGAATTCAACTTTTCCAGGTAGATTTTTCTTTTTTTTTCCGGATCATCCTCTACCTTCCCAGTTAACTTTAGAAAGGTAGACACTGAGCTGGATAATTTAGCCAATTTACTAATTGAAAAACCTTATATCAGTTAATTTAATTAATTGTCCAAAATTATTTTTATTTCACATTGTTGACTGGTAACTAATGTTGCCATGGAAACATCTCCTTTGAGCCTGCTAAAGGACTCAGCAACTTAACTTTGATTTAAAATAATATACAAACTAAGAATTAAAATAATTTTATAGGTAGAAATACTAAAACATGTTTTGATTCAGATTGCTTTACATAATTTTATTTCTCCTTTCCTGTCCAGCATGTAGAGTTTAAGTGAAGCCTTTACCAATATGCCTCTTCCAATCTGTTCTGCAAAGGAGTCAAAAATCTTCCCTTCTGTTGCAACCTTTTTTATTCTTAATCAGAGAAGGTCACCACATGGTGTTAGCTGAAGGGGACACATAAAAAAGGCAAGAGAAGAAATAAAACCGGCAGAACAAAAACCAGCAAATGCACCAGTTTTCTTTTTCCACATAAAAAGCAAAGGAACAAAAAGAAAACAGGATGTGTGCTGTAGAAAACTTTACACATCCTCTGTATATCTACCTACTGATGGCTACTTCCAGTCAAAGGCTCAGTTAATATAAACAGGATGAACTACTGTGGAGTCTGAACACAACTAATGATCCTTTGCATGAAACTATATGCACAGAATAAGACTTAAAGACAGAAGAAAATATATTACTGCATATGATTTGATACAAAAAAAATGAAAACATTAAAATAAAGAAAAGTAACCATAAAGGAAATAAACACAAATTTGACTTTCACATAATTACAGCATCAAACAACAACATATGACTAAATATTTCATATTTTTGCTATTAAAATTTTGTCTTTTTTTGATAATTTTAATTCAGTAAAAAGATTAAAACATCCTTTCCAGTTTGAAAAGCTAGGTCTTGTATCATAGCAACCTTCTCACCACCTGAGAAGTAGCAGGTTTGGAGCTTTCAGCAATGTGAGTGCAAGTGTGTTATTGCAACACAAAGAGGGTATATCAAAAAAGGGAATCAGTTGGTGGTTGAATGTAATAAGACAAGCTGACTCCTAGAATTCAGATGGTTTACTTGTGGTTTTACTGAATATTCTGATTGCAGCCATCATTATAAAAGGCAGAGATTTTTGTGAGTAGATGAAGGGGGCTGTTTCAAGGCAGCAAAGAATTAGACTTGAGGCATCAGAGGGTGAGCAGAAATGAGAAGGAGGGATAAATCTTTCATCTGAACATCACTACCGGGCGTTTTCTTTTTTTTAAACTGAAATAAAAAACACAATCCAATATTAATGTGCATGTCTTCTTCTCAGAGAGGGTGCATGAGGCAAAACCTATTTTTAAATTCACTTGCAGTACCTGTGGGGGGGTACATTCCATACAATGGGAATGGATTGAAAAGACGACACCAAATGCTTTGGGGAAAGAAACAAGAGTATGTAGATGCAATGAATAAAAGATGAATGATGTCTGTGTATCTAACTAAAATAGCTTAGTTTATTATACACTAGTGGAGTAGAGACAGAGAGCATAAGTAGACCTAAGAGGGTCTCAGAGGTTATTTGATGAAAGAATTATAAAACACTGGAAAGAGACACACTGAAATTACAGCTTAGATGTTTCTAGAATGAAATAATTGACTCTTTCCTCATCCTGTAATAAGTTTTCTGCCAAGAAGCTGAAAAAAGTAAGGGAAAAAAAAATAAAAAAATACAGGCAACTCTAATGTGTCTGTTTACACACTGGAAATTATTTACAAATATAAAAGGGGAAAATTTGGATAAAAAGCTAAATATAAATATTACCTAAGGATTCGCATAGGAAGAGCACCAAGATTCCAGGTTTAAATTCATATTAATCAACATTTTAATATGTATTTAATGTATTAATATGAAGTTAACACGGGGGAGAGGTGGCCTAGTGGTTAGGGCATAGAGCTTGGAATCCTGAGGTTCTGAGTTTGAACCCCACTCCTACAGACTGCCACTCTGGCTCTCTTACAGTAGCAAAGACCCTTAACCCCACACTGCTCCCCTGGCGCCGCATGATGGCTGCCCACTGCTCCCCAAGGACAGTTGCAGAGGGATTATTTCATTGTTCTGTACTTGTGACAGTTCAATGACAATAAAATGCTGGAAAAACAAAACGTAAAAAAAAAAAAAACATTAAACAGTCTGAATAAAATAAATAAATGATCAAAACAAGTGGTTGCTTTCACATTTAGATTGGGGAAAATAAATGCATTTTTTTTTTTTTTTTTTTGGTGTCAGAAGATGGGACAGATGTCTCTTCCAGCAGACACTCCCTGCAAATCATTATAATGTGCCTAGACCATTTGGTTTGTTTTTTTTTTATATGTTATTTATAAATTTTTTGTTTGACCTAATTTTATAGCTATCAAACTTCTGTGTTGTAGTTTGATCCTTCTTATTTGTGTCTATCCATTGGGTTGTTAAATCTCTGGCCTCTTTGCCGAAACAGAGTCTCTAACAACCATTAATAATTTATCAGCCAGTATTATCCTGCACACATGTAAGTCTAAACAAACCAATCCAAGGAGTTGTGCATTTGAATTCCCCCATAAACCATAAATGTTCCCCAGATCTGCCAAACACATGAGGGCTGAACAACACACCTCCCATGGACAATTTTAAAAACATTATCTCCTTCAAGTACAATAAACTAATAAATACACCTAATAGCGAGCATGAAGGAAGATAGTTGCACGCTCTGCCCTCCCTAGATGTAATGCTGATGAAGGACATTTACCAAAATAGGCCCACAATGTTCAATGCCTTCAACATCAAGGAATACATCTCATCTCCTTCAGTTTTTCTGCTACTGTACCATCAGAGCATTTATCTACTGTGATGTCCATGATAGCCATGATAATGGACTTGACTTCCTGGTATTCAATATTTTTCTCCTCCAAAAACAATTCCTCGACTTGTTGCTTTCAGAAGAACCTTAAAATGCTTCTTTCATGGTCAAAAAATGACAATAGGGACATCCTTTTAACTTTCAGCTTTTTCCTGAAACACCAGCACCTACGGCATCTTTCAGGTTGATGGCTTCCATCATCGTCGGTGCCCACCTACGTCTCTTTTCTTCTGCTTGACAATGGGCGTCAGGCCACAGTGTCTGAATAAATAGCATGCCATAGTAACTACATTCCTCATATTTATATATACAAAACTGATTCACAGCACTGTAGGAAAATAACAAGTCTATTGATTTCTTTTCTTGATGTGGACTCATTTATTTTCCAAACAGAGAGATAATTACAAGCCGAGTTCTCACTGTTTGTGCAGTCCTACGAAGTGCGGAGGTGTTTATGAGTCCTCTTTGGAGATAATTCTGTTGTATTTAAAAAAAAAAATTAGAATATTTACTGAAATTTCCAATATTTTCCATTATTTTGCATTCATCTCACATGTTACAGACATCATTTCTGATGTTTCTTTATGAAAGTTGGTGAATAATGAATGAATATGACCAGCGATGGAAGAAAAAAAAAAATCTAGTCGACTCTTTTGAGCTGATAATAAATGAGTCACGGGCTGGGATTTTTCATCAATATATTCTCCAGAGTGTCACATGGCTGTGAAACACAGCACGTGGATTGGGTTGAGTTGAGCATGCACACAGTTATAAAACATGCAGAAACACACATACACATACCCAGGCGCACTTTAAAGAGCTCGACTTCACAGAAACAGTGTATCTTTAGGGATCCTCCACGAGGCCTGACAAGCCTGATGAGGACTCGACGCAAGCGTGCACACTGAACATAAAACATCTGTCTCCTAGCTCTAGCGCCTGACAGCTGATTTGGTTACATATTACTTTTATATAATGCAATTCAAGTTATTTAGAAACAAATGTGCATTTTATCCTATCAATTATATCTTTCTATGTTGCTGCTTGAAAAACAACATTTACGTTGTAGTTATTTTGTAGGGGAAAAAAAGCAAAACATTTTTGCTTATGTTTTGTAAATGGAGCTCATTTAAATGCATGTTAATATGTGGGAGTGAGTACGAGGTATAAAATATTTATCACTGTGACAATGCCATTAAATGTGCTGCAGAAGTAGCTGAAATGTCACTGGCTGATTTGTTTTCAGATGTGCACAAAGTCTTTGGTTTCAAATCATACATTTATGAAAGAGATTTTTATTTTAGCATTGAATGTTGGTTTCAAAAGTTAAGCAGGTTTAGTATTAAACTTTTCATATTCATCAGGATTAGTAAAAAGAAAAAAGAAGTCTCATTGCAGAGGACAAACCTTGTTATAAAAGGGGTGCAGTTTAAAGAGTAATAAGTAAACACATTGATTTGTGCCCAGATCACTCTGACCTGGCTACCTTCCCAACTGCAAATTCCTTGAAATTGGAGAAAGATAAAAACTGGATGAATTCACCCTGGGTGCAACCCAGTCTCTTGTCACCTTTCTGCAATAAACAGCTAGAAAGGAAAATCATCTGCAGAAGACAGAAACATGTGAGTACATTAATTTCAGAAGACCTTGTTTCGTTGGGTTGTTAAAAAAAAAAATCAAGTCTAAATGTTGTCAATGTAAATAATGGCCGTTTTGAAAGAAAGGAATATGATAAAAAAAAAACACCTTAGTAAAAGTTTTAATCATGTTCAAAATTTCCAAATGTTTGTAGTTTATCGTGTTTTTGCCGTTTTGCTCTTTTTAACCACGTGTTCCTTGCAAATGTATTCTAGCTTTAGCAGTAATCTACAAAAAAAAACCCATAATCTTAAATGCAGTTCCTGTTCGTATTGTATGATTAACCAACATAAAATATGGCATAATTCTTAGCTCTTTTGCAGAACCAGCTATCATTGCAGTTATTCTAAATGATCTTTGGTTGTTTCTCTACAAGCTGGAAACTTAACTCTCTGCTCATTTTTCTATATAGATATTCATAACAGACCAAGCTCAGTCAAATGAGCCAGCAGTTTCTGGGTCTTGCAATAGAATAAAAAATGTATTTAGGTGTGGACTTTAAATTGTCTTTTTACTGCATACATATAAATAGAATTCTATATAGATAGAATAAACACTTCTTGTTGCAGTAAAGGACCAGCTTGATCGCCCCTAAAATTTCCCATTCGAACTTGTGAAACAGAGTCAGACATACTTTAATAATCCCAGAGGGAAATTACTTTAGTGGCTGGGTCATTTAGAGCAGGAGAGAGAATTTTATTCACTGACCTGACCTATGTCCTTAATACAATGAGGTTTGAGATCAGTTTGGGTCAGTGCTAAATTTTGGGAGTGCATGGAGGGTAGATCCAATTGTTCATTGGGTTCAGGACGGCCTAAGCTGAGATGGTCCAGATGCACTGATCAGTGTCTGATGACATCATTGTCCATAAACGTGCACCACAAAGATGTGTGCCATCACTTATGTATTCTCTGCACATTAATGTCCTGAAAATAGAAGATAGAAAAGTTACACTCTTTCAATATGCTGACAATATGGCTGTGGTGAGTCTTTTTGTCAATAAAGTTAGCTGTGATTATAAGGCTGAAGTGTACATGGTTTAATAGTGGTGTAAGACCAAGGAGCAGTGGTGGGCTGCGAGGGCCTTCAAAGCCTTCTCTGCTGGCCTAAAATCAATCAGAAACACTAACATATATCCTTAACGTAAACTTTAATTTTCTTCTTTGCAGCTCTATTAATTTATTCAAAACAATTAATTCTCTTAATTTTGTATGTATATCTCTTGATGACTGAGCTGCTTCCATTAAATTTATGTGGTCACTATATTTTTTGTCCAATCAGATTTCAGCCTTAGTGCATTGCTATGTCAATCAATCTGCCCAGGGCCTTCAGAATCAGATGTTATCTAACAATATTATTGAGGAGCATTTTCTTCAACAGAAAACTGCACAGTGCTGCCTGCTGCATCCTGACACTAAGTATAAAAGGATTTACCTTAGCAGAGTGAAAGCCACAATTAAAGGAGACTGACCCTCTAAAAAGGGTCTGAAATGGTACAGCATCATCCTATTAATGACAATTAATCATGTCCTTTCTTTTTTTTTTTTTAACAGAGGCTTTGCCGATAAAAATCATGCCATTTCTTCTGCCTGGTCTATTTCTACCATCTGAAGTTCAAACCCCACAGCTGGCAAATGCTCTGAGCCTTGCCATCCACTCTCCATCTCCCATACCTTTATGGCTCTTTGGCCATTCTTTGCCTCCCATTTTACTTTTAGAAATTCTAGGAACCACTGGGAACCAAGTGAGTGTTTGGAACACCAGAAACAATCAGATCTCTAATATAAGATGGAGCTTGGTTGTTTATGGCTATATAGGTGAGAAGGGGGATTTTGAATTCTATTCTTGTCATGATTCCTGGCATGAGTGCTGGTTTGATTTAGGATTCAACACACCTGTCAGCTCTGCCCTGTTTCCACTCAGCCTCCATCAAATTTTCCCTCTTAACTAACTGTATAACCAGCTCTCAGACCAGTGACTAGTGCCAGATTATTACGAGTATTCCTGTAAACCTGCCTGCCTGCCTGACCCCCATTGGACCTGTCTTAGTGTCTTTTGGATCTCTGACTTGTATTCTGTGATGCAATTGCTGATTCTGGTGAATCTCTCCCGACCAGCGCCAGTTTAATTCCAATAAACTGTTTAAATGTCTCTTGCTCCGGTTGAATCTGGGTCTTCCATTATCTGGTCATTATAATTCTAGATTTAACAGGAAG